GTTAAAAATAGTTTTTAACAAAGTGACTAAAACGTTGATACATGTGAAAAAAATTTGCATTAATTTATATCGTTATTTAATATGTTTAAATTGGTTTAGTATTTCACTAAAACGAACTATTTCGTGAAAGTTTCACTCGGTCGTCTTGGCGGATGGTTACAATTTTAAGCCTCCTGTAGCAAAGTGCTGTTCGGTTTTGCTCGGCCAACAAGCATTTACTGACGTAGTGCCCGTCAAATGACGCTGACGTAGAAGCCACGGGGTTTCCCTGGATATTCCAGGGGGTTCCGCGACTACATTATTGTCATGCGCCCTCCTGTGGCTCAAATATACAACGACACACAGCAAACAACCTTTTGGAAGGAACTTGTTCATATTAGCAGTTGCACCTTTGAGTCATGGATCTTGTTGTTGGCGGAGCTACACCGAACAACCGACCGCATCACCAGACAAGATTTCATCATAAAATGTGTTCCTACGCCAAACTGCCCTTGTGAAACATGAAGAAAATAGATATCTTTCGACAGAAGAAAAGCGAATTTAAGAAAATAAAATAACGATATAAATTCATGCAACTTTTTCACATGTATCAACGTTTTAGTAACTTTGTTAAAAAAATATTTTTGGCTACAAAGCGAGTGTTTAAACGAAGTGCGTTCTGATTTTTCGTCACCAGGTGGCGAGTACCTTAAATGAGCAGGGGAAGGGAAATTTAAATGCACGTGTGGCCCTCTGCTGGCAAAAGGGAGCAATTACACCCATCAACGTTCTGGACGGAAGTTGATTTATATATGCAGTTGAACGTTTGAGCCACCGTAGGGCGAATCGTGCATACAACCTAATGGCCGGACCTTGTTGTTGGCGGAGCTCAACCGAACAACCGACCGCATCACCAGACAAGATTTCATCAAAAAAATGTGTCCCTCCGCCAAACTTTCCTTGTGGAACATGAAGAAAATAGATATTTTCGATAGAACAAAAGCGAATTTAAATAATAAAACAACGATATAAATTCATGAAACTTTTTCACATGTATCAACGTTTTATTAACTTTAATAAAAAACTGTTTTTTACTACGAAGCGAGTGTTTAAACGAAGTGCGTTCTGATTTTTCGTCACCAGATGACGAGTACCTTAAATGAGCAGGGAAGCATGAATAAAATAGATATCGTTTGATAGTAGAAAACCGAATTTAAAAATGAAAATAATGATGAATTATGATAATACCAAAAAAAAGTGTACATCGTGTAAACATTTCACTAATTTTGCTATTGTTTAATATCTGTGTAACTAAAGCGAAAGCTAAGTTCGCTACCACACAGCTTGAATGCTGCGTTTAACAATTGTTGAGTGCAGTCGGTTGTGTTATAGTTGGCCAGAAGACGGCGATATTGTGCAGAAAATAAATGAATTATTAATTCAATTAATAACATTAATTATTTAAGTTTTTATGTAAAACAAGAGGTGATTAGATGAGATTAAAAAACGGGAGATAAAGAAATAAGAGAGATTAGAGAAAAGTTGATACCAGTTGAAACAAGATGAGATGATAACTGGTGAGACAAGATAAAATGTGGTAAAATAAAATGAGATGAGTTCAGTCAATACAACACAAGATGAGATGAGATAAAGTAAAGACTTAGTGAGAAGTCTGCTCCAAGCATGAATGTATATTTTAAATAGCAACAGTTTAAATATATATATTAATCAGGTGTGAATGATCTGAAGAGAAAGAGAAAAAACACAGCTCATCCATATAGGAGCAAAGAAAGAAAAGGTGTCAAGGACCGTAAGAAGCTGCAGGTGACAGAAAACGCTCGCTGTCTCATCTAAACTCCGCCTCATTAACATGATCTGTTGATAAAAGGTGCAAAAGACAAACAACACATACTGTATCTCACTGATTAATTAAGTATTGTACCTGGGGACTGGTAATTTATTTAGTGTGGCGCTAGAGATGACGACTGTGCGCTGATGTTTACTGGATACTATTCCACTGTGAGATCTGGCAACACTGATTGGCCTGTGTCTTTATCACAAATATTAAAACACCCAGATTTACAGAAGTAATGTTAGTGGACAGTAAATATCCCATCCTATACCTTCAGACTGTGTCAGACACCCGCCGACCTTCCTTTTTACTGCCATTAACCTAATCAATAGCACAGCTTTATTTCTTTATTGAACTCATCTACTGACCACCACATACTGCAGACGTAATCCTAGATTTAGGTTGGCTAAAATATTTATTTATTCCTTTGGCATTACCATTAGAGCTGTAGAGTTCCAGTAATGTAATCCTAACAGACAGAGGTGGACTCCCATGTTGCTGTAAGTAATACGCCGTGTACTATTGTAGACAGATTTTCTTTCCTTGGGGTGAAGACTCGCGTCTCTGCCCCGGTGCCGCCGTCGGCCCCATGTGGCTGCAGCGTATGAGAAGTTGTCAGTCCCAACTATGTAAAGGCTGAACATTGTGCAGTGATGCAACTTTGGCCTGGTGTGTGATGGTGTGTGT